CAGTAAATGCACATATTTTACAGAGTGTCCAAGGGTCCCAGGTCTAAACCCCACACAAAACAGGGTCATAGTTTTAGGCAGCAAATGGGATAGTGCCAGGAAGGTGGAGACGGTAAAGTCATAATCCCATCATGAGAATGGGGCAGAACCACTGAGCCCTAAATAAATGAAGCACATCAGGAAAATAGATGAAGCTGCCCACACAACCATTCTGTTTTCTAAAGCCAGACAATCTACCATTGCAGTGATTGTATTTAATCCTTTATCCCTCTGTTTAAATATTCTCCTGTCCTGGAAATCATTCTGTGTTTGTTTCCTATATGGTTTTAAGCAATGGTTCTACCCCCACAGTATGCTAAGTGCCAGAATAAATATTTATGCCACTGGAGATCATGATAATATAGTGGTCTACACTTACGCACACTTCATGTTCTAGCATGGATGATCAAAGTAAAAGTACAATTTCAAGTTGGAAGCCATGGTTTCCTGTTTCATCTAGCTTATTCTGTACAAAGGTATGTTGTGTATGAATAGATTTGCTTCTTTGTAGGTTGAATCTGAGAAGAAAGTAAGTGATTCTTCTGTTTCTTACCATGTATATTGGCATGTTATTATGCACTTAGAAATTAATGTGTTCTTTTTGAGTGAACAGCACTGCTATTCTTTAAAATATAGCATATGTATGATAGAGGTTTGGAATGGAAGGCAGTGGTGGTGATTTAAAGGCTCTCAACATATAAGTGTTTCCATAAGCTAGCTATTCATTATGATTTCAGGTTTGTTGAGACTACCAGTAAGGCAAGAGGATCTATATTATTAGTGAGAATGGTTTAGTCTTCCTAGAGGTAGAATATATCTCTAGACTATTGAAAGTTTTGAAATCATCATAAAAATAAGTTACCTGTGTTCAATAATAATTTTCTGAAGTAATATTAATGACTACAGCCCTAAAAAAAGGAATTCAAAAAGTCTTCTCATGGAAAATTGTCAAATCAAATCTGTTCATATGTATTTTTTTTTAGGTGGAAGTGAATCCTCCTGGGATAAGGATAAGATGCAGTCTCCTCTTGCTGCTCCTGGACCCCAACATGGAATTGCTCATGCAGCCCTAGCTGGCCAGCCAGGCCTTGGGGGTGTTCCTACCCTCAATCCACTGCAGCAGAACCACCTGCTAACCAACAGTATGTATACTGTCCTCCAAAAACTGAGTGTGTTGAGAAAAATCCCATCTAAGACATACTAGACACCTTGGTCTGGCAGGGCTTACTCTATTTGTTCTCACTGAGTTTTAACAATTTGAAATCAGAAGGAAAGATTAAAAGGGACTCATTTGAAAGTGTTCAATTCATAGACTAGAGGTAAATGGGAGGCTATGTAGCAGAGTAGTTAAGAATGTTGGCTAGAGTCACAAAAAGGTGTGTTTGAATTCCACATCATTTGAATTCTACATCACTGTTTTACTTTGGAGAAGCCACCTGACTTTCCCAAGTCTCAGTTTTCACAACTACAAAGTACAGATAAAAATAAACCCACTTGGAGTTATTGTGAGGGCTAAGAATAGTAAAGAAAATGCTGTCAATGGTGAATTGCATTTATAGTAAGTACTATATGAATTATAAGTATTATTATTACTTAGCAATCACACTACACCTAATGTATAACAATTAAGGTTTAGATGATGTTTTTAGAAATTTTAAAGACTCAGAAATCTTCCTGTATTAATGCAGGTATTGTATATATTACTTGGATAAAATCTTACCTTTCATATAAACAGGAAATCCAGGAGAGAGTTTCATTACTCCTTTCCCTCAGACTATCATTCTTCCATTAAACTCTAGGATTAAGGCAACAGAGAAATTATAAGATATTTTAATATGATGGCACACATCTTAGTGAAATTCACCAGTTATTTAGCATATAAAAATAATGTACGAAATCTTACTTTAAAGATGTTATAATCTAAAGGATAAAAGGTCAAATACAAAATAAAATGTTAAGCAAAGGCAAATAAAATGAACGACAGAAAATTTATAAATATTACATTAAGGTGTACACAGCCACAATTTAAATGTATAAACATATACTATTTATCAAATTAAATAACACATGATCAAAAATTTATAAATATTACATAAAGGTGTACACAGCCACAATTTAAATGTATAAACATATACTATTTATCAAATTAAATAACACATGATCACAAAGTTCTGATAAGGCAATCAGTTCATACTTCTCACTAAACAAATAATAAAAGCCCTTCACAAAACCTGTTTAAGGAAATGTTTTCTGTTTTTCTTTGCTATGGCTTCAATATCTTGTGTTATTTTTGATCGATAACTTCTGCAAATGTGAGCCTCATCTC